CCAAGAATATCAGTCAATTAGGAGGAATGGCAAAACTCTCCAACAGAAGGAAAAAGAGACTCACTGAGACACTCTATTCTGAGACTAAGACTAAACAACCCAGGTTTCTGGCTCCATCTTATGGCCGTTTGAGAAACCACACCCAATTACAATATTATTTTTGCATTTTCTTAAAGAGGCAGTTTTAAAATGTCTATCCTGGTTTATATATTTCCAACCCAAATAGCTGTGAGGTGACTCATATTCCTAACAGCTGTGGAGGGGGAGGAATTGGGTTTTGTAACGTACCCAATGTCGGCTGCATCTGCTGTCTCTCCCTTGCTGCTTGGGCCTGCCATGCTGGGCTGATCCTTAGGCCACCTCTGACCAACGCCACACTGATTCCACTGTCAAGTCTTGGACTAGGGAAGGTGAACGTGGGCTATGTTAGGACCCAGCTCGTCTGGAGAGGCTGTGGCTGTGAGACACAACTTCCCACCTTAAGTTGCTGGAATTGCTCTGGGATCCCTGCCAACAACTGGCTTCGGGATGGAGGCAACAGGTTCCAGTCTTGGGAGTTGTCTGATTCCAAGCTCCCCCCTCCCCCCGCCGCTTCTCCACTCTGTCTCGTGGGCCGTCCTCAGGGCTGGAGTAGGAAAGGTGTTCAGGCCGCTTCTCCTCCTGTCCCATCTCTGGATTCAGCTCTGTCTGGCAGCTTCTCCATTAATCCGTCTCCTTGAGCCAGGTGCCTAGCCTTCATCTTTCCTCTGCAGCTTCCACCACTTGCAAAAATTCTTCAGAAGGGGGGCAGGGGGGCTCAATTAGTTCTCTGGTGGCCGGCCCCATAGCCCCTTCTGTAGCTTCCTCCCTTTCTTTCATCTTCACTGAGACTTCACACTGCTCCATTTTTTGAGTCAGTGCTGGGGCTCAGCACCCCTGACAGCCCCCTTTCAGGGGGCTGGAGTTTGTTTAGAGATTCGGGATAATGTCAGCATTCCAGCAAACCTCCATTCCGACCAATAACTCTGAGACAGACATCTCTCAAAGGTTCCTTTTATTTGGATAGTAACTGGTACATCTGTGGAATCCCGAATCTGAAAGTTTTGGGCTTCCTTGCAAAAGTAAAAACTACAAATCCATCCCCCATACCCATCACCACATCACATGGCCCAATCACTATCCATCCCAAAGTAAGATTTCCTTTTCACTGTGCGCAACACTACCTGACCTTGAAACAGCAAAATATTTTTATTTTGTCTAACTAGGTATACTCAAATGAATTCGCCCCTCCCAGTTTCCCATGCTCAATTGTGGCAGCGTGGGAGTATTGAATCTCAATATAGCTTCCAAAGGTGACAATGACGCAAATACATATATCATATGACATATTATCTTTTCCTGTGCCTTCTGTTTTTTTTCAGCTTTCTATTTATTGCTTACACGTGTTTTTTCCAAGTTTTCCGCAGCTTTTCAGCTAGTCCTCAACTTACAATGCTTCGCTTAGTGACTGCTCGAAGTTACAACGGCACAGGAAAAAAGTGACCAAGGATTGTTTTTACACACAACAGTTGCAGCATTCTCGTCGTGTGACTTAAGGATTTTGGATGCTTGGCAACTGGTTCGTATTTATGACAATCGCAGCGTCCTGGGGTCATGCAATCCCCTTTTTTGTCCTGATAAGGAAAGTCAATGGGGGGGGGCAGATTCACTTAATGACCATATTATTCACTTAACAAATGCAGGGATTCACTTAACGGTGGCAAGAAAAGTAGAAAAAACTCATTTAACAAATCTTTCACTCAGCGACAAATATTTGGCTCTTGATTATGTTCATAAGTCGAGGACTTCATGTTGTACAGACATGCTTTATACATACACTCAGCGACAGAAAGTTTGGTGCTCCCTTGTGGTCGTAAGTCGACTAGCTTTATAAGCAAATCAGCATAGCTGTTTGCTAAGAAGGCCGAGTTTTGAACCCAGGGCCTAGAGCTAGGGGCTTTTAAATCAGAGCTGTAGGAGCCTTGTGGGACGTTGCCACTTGAGCAAGGCTGTGCCAAACGCTTTCTGAAAATAAATATATACCATTTCCCACAAAATACGAACTATTCTGAAAGTAGGTCCTAGCTTGATTTTTACGCGTGCACCCAATATAAGCCCTACCCCCAAAATAAGCCCTAATTAAGATTCCACCCACTCCAGAGTGGACGGGTAAAAATTAAACTAGGGTGGGGATGGGGTGTGGAGCTGCCCTACTACTTACCTTTGGACAGTTGTAGCCAGGCCTTGCACACCCGAACACCCATTTCTTCTGCAGCCAGAAAGGCTGCCAAGGCTTTCCTGAAGGCGTCTGTAGCTGATAAAGCTCCGCTTTGTTTATCATTATTTTGTTTATATTTTGTCAGCTGCAGAGACCTTCAGGAAAGCCTTGCCGGCCGCAGTAGTTCCTGAAAGCCTCTCAAAGTGAAAAGGAGGCAGAGGGCGATGTGCGCAAATGAGGTTAGTCTGTGGATGACATCCCCCGAAAATAAGACCTGGTGCCTGTTTTGGTGGCAAAAAAAAAATATAAGACAGGGTCTTATTTTCAGGGAAACACAGTATATTTCCAGCTCAGAAGAAGTTGATTTTTTTCAAGGGATAATGAGAACATTTGATGTAAAGAAACCATTGGATTTTAGCCACCTTCCTTCTCGTTTCTAGACAAACGTTTTCAAGTTTTGTATCTTAAAAGAAAAAAAGATGCATTTCACAGCTTGCCAAAAAAAGGAAAATGAGGCAGGAAGCTTGGTTTAAAGCACTTCAGGATGCTTTTTTAAAAGAACATTTTTTTCAGTGTGTTATACAATTTGAGAGGTTCTATCCCTCCAGTCGTTTGTCCACGAGTGTCTTCAAAGCCAATGAATTTCATAAAAAGACTAAATATCTCCAGAATTTATATCAAGTCGTTGAAGTTCAAAAGTCCAGCAGCTTTTTTTAAAAAAGGCATCTTCATTTAATTGCTTCGTATCCCTCGCTCTTTTGAAAGTATACAAACTGCAGAGACCTTTATAGGATATATCTTCCTTTCTGCGTGAAAAGTGTTTGATCAGGCAGCAGAAACTATGTATAAATTAGATGAAAACATTTAAAAACGTACATTTTCCTCCCTGAAAACAATTCTTTCTCAAATGAGCGTCTACCCTGTTTCCCTGAAAATAAGACCCAACTGGAAAATAAGCCTTAGGATGATCTTTCAGGATGCTCATAATATAAGCCCTACCCCACAAAATAAGCTCGTTAAGATTGTCAGCCAAACGACCGCATTTAGAAACCATATTTCTGCGAAAATAAGTCCTAATGTGTCTTTTGGAACAAAAATAAATATAAAACCCTGTCTTATTTTCGGGGAAACAGTATCTAGATTTTCATTGGCAAATCCATAGAATTAATCCTATATTTTGTGAGGTCCCTGCTGCTGTCTGAGCTTGGTCGTTTTCTTGCAAACATTTCATGACCCAGCTAGGTAACATCATCGGTGCTAGAAGGAAGTGGGGTTTGTGGAAATGAGGAGGATGACCGTGGGGTCCTTTTCTATGGGGAAATCCATAGAATTAATTTTATATTCTGTGAAGTCCCTGCTGCTCTCTGAGCTTGGTTTTTTTGAAAGACGTTTCATGACCAAACTAGGTAGCATCGTCAGTTCTCAGGGTAAATAAAAAATGATTTTTTTAAAAAAAAATGATTTTTTAAAATTTAAATCGGATTTTTTTTCTTTAAATTGATTTTTTCTAGTTTTATCAAATTTATTTTAATAAAATGTCTTTGGAATAAAAATCTATCTGAATTTGAGATACATTCATACTTTAGTTTATTCAGTATGAAATGGAGCTTAGTGATGTAGCACGAGGCTATATATATTCTGCAATATTTACATTTTGGGTAAACTCATTCCACAAATCCAAGCTCTGCAAGCTGAGATGCACCGCGTTGATGCATTCACACAATTTCACAGGAGGGATGACAGTTGCTCTTTAAAAGTTATGATTTAAATCGAGTTGATTTAAATTGAGCCTTTTTACTAGTGATTTAAATCTGGCACTGATGTTACCTAGTTTGGTTATAAAATGTCTGCAAGAAAACCACCCAGCTCAGAGACCACCAGGGACCCCCACCGTTTGCCCGAGCTACATAATACAGGTAGTCCTTGACATACGAGCACAATTGAGCCCAAAATTTCCATCGCTAAGTGAGACAGCTGTTAAGTGAATTGTGCCCCATTTTACGGCTTTTCTTGCCACGGTTGTTAAGTGTGAATCATTGCAGTTCTTAAGTTAGCAACATGGGTTGTTAAGGCCAATCTGGTTTCCCCATTGACTTTGTTTGTTGGAAGGTTGCCAAGGGGGTGGGGTCACGAGATCCTGGGGTCACGTGAACTGTCAGAAATATGAGTTGGTTTTCAAGCATCTGAATTTTGATCACATGATCGTGGGGACATTGCAACGGTCATATGTGTGAAAAATGATCCTAAGTCACTTTTTTCTGGGCTGTTGTAACTTTGAACGATCACTAAAAGAACTGTTGTAGGTAGAGGACAGCCTGAATTCTCTTCTATAGGAATTGAATGAATGAAAGAGGAAGGAAGGTATGAAAGAAAGGGAAGGAGGGAGGAACAGGAAGGAGGGAGCAGAAGGAATGAAGGAGAGAAAAGGAGGGAGGGAGGAGAGGAAGGAAGGAAAGGAAGAAGTGGAGAGGAAGGAAGGAAGGAAGGAGAGAAAGGAATGAAGGAGAAAGGAATGGAGAAAGGAATGAAGGAGAGAAAGGAATGAAGGAGAGAAAGGAATCAAAAGGGGGAGGGAGGGAGGGAGGAAGGAAGGAAAGGAAGGAAGAAAGGGAGAGGAAGGAAGGAGAAAAAGGAAGGGAGGAAGACGAAGGAAGTAAAAGAAAAGAAAGGCTTATATTTCACCTTAACCCACCTAGCCTTTTTGGAGAACAGTGGGAGAACCAAGAAGTGCCAAAAATTCTGTTTTTCTTTTTTTCTTTTCCAGTCCCGCAGCCATGAAGCTTCGCGGGACAGCAACAGTTTTCCACACACCAAAGAGCCCTCCCCACCCCACAGCCCCAAGGCCCAGCACCAAGAGGTCCCCTCCAGCCCCAGGGAAGAAGGGAGAAGCACCCCATCCCCTCCTCCGAGGCCACACAGCCATACCCCACAACACCAACCACCAGCACGCGGCATGCAGGCCAAGACCACGTTTCCAGAACGAGTATGGGGGCGTCTCCTCGGGGGTCCCAGCTCCACTTCAGCTTAGAATTTGGGGGGTGGCGGCGGCTAGGAGACCTGTCCCTGTAGCCCCTTCCTGCTAAATTAACCCTTTCCCCCACAGGGCAGCCCAGAGCCGCTCTTTCCCACGGAGGAGGGGTCTGGCCTAGACACCGGGGGTCTCGCCTCGGAGCCGCAGCGCCCGATCAAGCCACCGCACAGCAAAATGTGAGTATCAGGGTGGGCTGAACCATGATGGGTAGCTCACCTCCCACTCATAGAGTGCCCGACTTGGGAAGGTCGATCCATTGGGGGGCACCCCGAAAAACACAGGAGACAACAGTAAGCTCTCTGTGGCCCAGAACATACCAAGCGTGGTGCAGTCCCTCACCAATCAAGCAGAATGGCTGGAGGAAAGAAAGGAGGTTCGAGACGGGATATCACTGAGAAACTGACCAGACCATGGCCCGTTCCAGTGGGGCTGAGTCAACCTTGGTCTCTTTAAGCCAGGATCCTGTAGGGGTGACCCTCTGTCCTTTCTCACATCCCAGGGTTGTGATATTTATATATTTATTTATAAATATATATATATTCATCCCACTACAATTATTTGTAATTTTTGAAAAAAGGCATTGGCACTCGGCTCCATCTAATACCCGAATTAAGGGATTATTACAGGGTCGTAAAAGGGTAGCCCCTCCCCCACTACCCCAGTGATCCAGATCCCAGCTTGGCTTGGAATCGGTCAGATGTGCCCTGCGTGAAGGGTGGATCCTGTTTCTTGGAGGGGGAGCCACCTTCAGCCCTCCCACCCATGCCCAAGAACAGACGAAAGGTGCCCTGCCCATGTACCAGCCTCAGTGCTCAACCTCGGCACCGCAGGCCATTTGAGGTTGAGCATTGGCTGCTTTTAATGCCCTATGTCTAGAACCACACAGTGATGTTTCTGCACGCTTGACCAGTTGGATGGGGGACTGACCGCTAATGGAGGGATCCAGCAGCCTCTAAGGCAGCGGCCCACTGGTGGGTCGTGAGAAAATTTTGGTGGGCTGCAGGGACACCCCCCCCCCCCCCCCCCCCCCCCAAAGCAATGAAACACAAGGCTGCACTGCCCACATGGCCCGCGGGAACCCTCCCCACCCACTCACTCCTTACCTGGCAAACTTGCCTGCTAAATTTCTGTTTTTCCTTTTTCCTACCATCATCTGTTCTGCTGTGCATGGAGATTTAGATTAGCTAGGAAGCAGGAAATGGTTGGATTTCGTGCTTTCTAGCTAGTCTTTAGATCTTTGGCTCTGCTTTTAAGCACAGCTGAACCTCTCTTAGGACTGAAGGTTTGCTTGCAAGTAAATTCAGTGCAGATTCACTGTAAGCAAATTTGAGAGACTGAGCTAGATGATGGCAGATAGATACATCACTGAACGATTCTGTGAGCAACTCAATCTGCCTGCTTTGCCTGATTTTGGGTAAAAGTTGCTCTTTATAAAATATATATATATATTTATAATATTTACATATAAGCCATGCCCAGCCAGTCACATGACCACCAAGCCACACCCACAAATTAGGCCACACCCACAGAACCAGTTAGTGGTCCCTGGGATCTAAAATTATGAGTTTGGTGGTCCCTGAGGCCCAAAAGGTTGGTGACCCCTGCTCTAAGGGACAGGTTGGATGGGGGAGGGAGGGAGGGATCCTGCAGCCCTCCTAAGGAAAGATTCCTGTGTGCTTGACCGGTTGGTTGGATGGAAGGATGCTGGGGAGGTCTGGCCTTTAGAAGGGAGGGCTCCTAAAGCCTCTAATGGAAGTTCCTGCACGCTTGACCAGTTGGATGGCAGCTGGTCTTTAAAAGGGATGGCTCCTGCAGCTTCTAATCTAAGGTTCCTGCTGTGCACTTGACCGGTTGGATGGATGGATGGGGGGGGTCCGGCCTTTAGAAGGGGGGGCTCCTGCAGCGCCCACCCACATGTATTGGGGACGGAGTATCCCAAAAGAGGGGGGGTCGGGTCGGGGGTTAATTCAAGGTCCCTCCTTGCCCTCGCGGCTCGACCCCGCCCCTCGGGGTCCTTTCAGCTCCCCCCTTCTCTCTCCCCCCTCCTTTATCTCTCCCTCCCCCTCCTCCTCCTCCTCCTTCCGGGGGCTGCCGGGAAAGCCTCAGCGCCGGCAAGATGGCCCCGCCGCCGGTTCGCGCCTCCGCTCTTTCGCCGGGGGTGGTCACGCTGTTGCCGGGGCCTTCGCCTGCGCGCTCCCCCACCGAGCCGCTGCGGCGCCCGCGAGACTGCTAAAGAGGCGGAGCCTCCTCGCCTCGGCCATGCTGCTCTCCGAGAGCAAGGGAGGGTGAGACCGGGAGGGTCCAGCCGGCCTCGGCTGTCACCACAGCCCCCTCCCCAATGCCTCCCTCCCTCCTTCCTCTCTTGCGCCATTCTCTCCTCCATTCATTCATTCCCTTCCTTCCTGCGGCCCCTCCCCCCTCCTATTTTTCTCTGCCTCGCGCCTCCTGGGCTCTCCCCCCCCCCGCTTTTTCCTGCCCTCCATTTTCTCTCTTCCCTCCAGCCAGTCGGCCCTTCCCTTTGACAGGGTGCCCCCCCTTCCGTGCGCCTCGCTTTCGCTTTCTTCCCATGAGGTCTCACTTTCACTGCGGGTTTTCTCCCTTGCTTGGCTGGCTGGCGGTTTCTTCCCTCCCTCCCCTCTTTTTTTTCTTCCGCCCCCCACCCCTCCGGGTCCTCTGCCTGACCTCCCAGCTGCTTCTTCCTTTGCCCTCTTCCCTTTCCCCATCTCTCTCTCTTTCTCCATCTATATCTTATATCTCCACACACCCCCTCCAGGAGTCCAGGTTCTCTGCCTGCCTTCCAGCTGCTTCCTCCCCTGGATTCTCCTCCTCCCCCCCTCCAGGGCTCATCCACCCATACTTCTGTCTCTCCCCCTTTTTCTTTTTCACTGCCTGCCCTTTTCTCTGCAGATTTTTTTTTCTTCTTCCCTCTCCCTTGCTCCCTCTTTCCATCCCGCCCGTGTCTGCCTTCACCTTGCTCTTCTTTCCCCTCTTTCGGCCTCTCTGGCTGCTGCTGTTCTGCTCCTGGCCCTCAACTTTCTCTCTCTTCCCCCCCTCCCCTGAGCAATAGTGGGGGGGAGGCTGGGACGAGGTGATCTGAGGCCCCAGGGACTGGCAATGGGGTGGGGGTGGGGGGCCTCTGAGATGAGAAGGCAGTGGTATAATTGACGGGGATGGAATATGCTACATGAAAGAAGGTTCAGGTGGGTGGTTTGGGAAAAGGGGCCATTTGGGGGTCTGGGTGCCTCCCCCCCTTCGGATTCTGATTCCTCCCCTTGTTTGGACATGGGGCAGCCTACAGCCAGCCCTTCGGCCAGGGAAAGAAAGGCCCTTCTCTTGTACTGTTTGGGGGGGAGGAGAGGAGGTGTTACTCTAGAGTTGGGGGAACAATATTCCAAGGATGCTCAGGGACTGAGAAGTGACCTTTAGATGGGCTGCAAGGAAGGGAAGGGTGCAGCGCGTAACTGAAGAAAGAAATGAATGGAAGTTGGCGCTGCTATGGGTCAGGGGTTTCTTGGGGCAGTGGGCCCTGCTATATGGGGTAGAGGCTCCCCAAGGCCTCTTTTTGTAAAGGCTGCTGCCCTTCCCAATAAAAGTGAGGTTCCTCTTGTCCCCTAGTGACCCCCAGTTCCCCTGCCCCCCCCCCAGTGATGGCCTCTCCCTCTTTTCACGCAGCGAGGAGAAGCAGACGGTGCCAATGGAGCTGTCGGAGCCCCAACCGGACAATGAGGCCCTGGAGCCCGGTGGCCCCGAGGATCAGCCTTCCACACACCCCTCAGGCCCTGAAGCAGGTCCCGAAGATGAGAAGAAAGAGGTAGCGTGTTGGGAGGTGCCCTTCAGCATAGAGGCAGGGGGCCCTAGGGGGTATCCATATGAGCGGCTGGGGAGGGTGGGGCTTTCTTGGGGCAGATGAAGGGCCATTCAGCCCTGGGTGTGTGTGTGTGATGGGAACAGAGGAAAGGCCTGGGGGTGGGATCTAAGCTCCCCAGCAAAATCTTTGCACTAGGGACTTGATGCCCCAAATCCCCCACTTTTTCGTGCAAGGAGATCTTGAAGGCAGGGGAGTCTGGGTGCACCACAATTCACTGGGTTTTTTTCCAAGCATGTACAATTCTGCTTCCTGAGAATTTCCACTTGGGTGTGCTTGGGGGAAATCTTATTTTCCCACCCACCCACCGCCCTTAATTTTACAAAATAAACCACTGCAGTTGGAAAATAGGTTAGGCCTATCAGGCTGAGAACGAGCAGAAGCAAGAAATAAGCCTTCCGTGACATGTTTTTCAACTGTAGTCCCTTTAAGATGTGTGGACTTCAACTCCCAGAATTCCCCAGCCAGCAAGTCAAAATGCATCCACCTTAAAGCATGCCGGATGAGGAATTCTGGGAGTTGAAGTCCACATGTCTTAAAGTGGACAAATACTGTACCAATGGCTAGCAGAGAAAAACAATCACTTCTTGCCTTTTTAAATTTTTCTTGGCTAGCAAATACTGCATTCATGTCCCAATTTAGTGCCAGATTATACCCAAATAAGAGAAAATACCGAATATTGACATGGAATTCAGAATCCCAGAGGTGTTTGGTATTTTGATTTTTTTATTGTCCAGTCTGGAGGCAGAATCTGCATTCTCAGCCTGGTGCTTATCCCATTTACCCTGCCTTAAGGCAAAACTGGTTTGAGTTTTTTCAAAGCAGTGAAAAAACCCAATCCCTTAATCAGGATTCCTGCTCTTAAGCATATTTTGGCATGCTTAATTTTTTGTCTGTGTGGTGGTGGTGGTTTACTAAACTAGATCCATTGCAAATATTTGGTTTACCCTTCGGCCATTGCTGATACTTTGTCTCCCCCCCGCCTTCCACCTGTAAAGAATTGGCCTCTTTCCCCTGTGTTGTATAAAGAGGGTGTGAGTGGGTTTTGTGATAGGAGGGCGCTGGGAGGTCTTGTGGGGGAGGGGATTGAATACATTTGTGCAATCACACGTACATATTTGCACTCACAACTCAGATCCTGGCTTTTCCGTGCTGCTGAGGAAGAGGGGTGGGTGGGGACAGGCCTTGCTTCTCCCCTCACCCTAAAGATAGCTACCCCACGCAACCCCCCTCCCCCATTGATGTTCTCCTCTGGACTCGTTTGTTCTGAATCCCATTTTAAAGAGGCATCAATCTCCTGGGAATGCGAGAGAGAGAGAGAGAACTGGAGAGAGAGAGCGTGGACACATTTGAGCAGGCTGCAGCCGGACATCCATGGAGGTTGGACAGGGAAAGAAACCACAAAGAGAGATTTTGAAGATGGTTGACTTGGCCCTTCCTGGAACTGTTTTCTGCCTTCGCTTGGTGGGAAAGTCCTCTCAACGCCCGTAGCCATGCAGAGAAAACGTGCCTCTCTGAGTCCCACCTACTCTGTGGGTCTTCCTTTGTGGGTCTGAAAACTTGATGGTGCACCTCAACGGGTTCCTTGTTCATCTCCACCATCTGTGACAGCTGCAGCTGCAGCTGCTGCTCTTGGAAGGCCACCTGGTCAAAACTCATCCAGCCTTCGGAACGAGGTATCCAAAAGACGCCCCACAACATGTCAACCTCTTCTGTCTCCTGCCCAGGGAAGTTTGAAGCCACATCTCCTTCACCGTCACAAGGAAGGCTTCCGTTGACATGAGATGAATTGCCCTGAAAAGAGCTATCCAAATCCTCCCGGATCTTGTCACCAATCCCGTTGCTCCTAGGATCCCGCCATCTTCCCTGATTTGGAGGACGTTTTGGTGCCTGCGTGACTTTTCCATCCGCCAAGGGGGGAGGCCGTCATCCCATCCCCCCGCTCCCAGTCACCGATCTCCAAATCCCTAGGAGCCAGATTGACGCCAGATCGACGTCCGTCTGCCAATCCTGAGACTGGGCTCCAGAATTTGGAGAGAAGCTCCTCTGTCCTCCCTAATGCTGCGGATATGCAGAGGTCTTCTACCCGTTTCACTGACCTCCCACGAGTCCTGCTTTCTTCCCGCCAGTGCCATGAAGGACCTGTTTGTGGCCTTTTTCGGGTATGCGCTGTGGGTCGCCTAAGAGGACTTGGTGTGCGGAGCGTCCCACAGACCCCAGAGGACATCCTTGCGGTGTGTTATTTCTTCCAAAACAAAAAAGGACTGTCTGTTCTGGTTAACCTGTTTCACCTGTCATCAGTATGTCTGCCCCGTTGTGAATTTTGACAGTTTTCACTTAAAAAAAGAGTCCCCGCCACGAACGGGACAGTGCCACATCCCGCTGTCCCGATGGTCTGCCTGCCGAGAACTGACTGATGCCTTTACCCTCGTGATGACCCCCCACACACTTCCGCCCTTGTGCGTGAGGGTGGCAACTTCTGTCTTGCCCTCTCTCTTCTGAGACACTTTGACTTCCGACCACCAGCCAATCAAGCACTAGGTTCCTACCTACCTACCGGCCAACCAATCAGCACCTCTCTTGTCACCCAGCCCAACCAAGCCACGCACCTTTCAGGCCAGGGAGGGCTCTTTCCAATTGGACCAGCCGTTGCCTAGATACAGCGTACACACACTGAGGTGTGATTGGCTGAACAGAAGACCTTGCCCCAGGTGTGAGAGGGTACCTGGAGCACTTGTCCTAATTTTATTTTTTTTAAGTTTTTTTTCTTGTTTTTGTGTTCTTAATTTAAATAGAAAAAAAGAGAAAGGGAGAATTGGAACTGCTTGGAGGTGGGGTGGGGTGGGTGGATGGGTCCCATTATGGTTTTAAATGGAGGGGTCTCCCCCCAGCTTTCTTTGTTTCTTAAATGATGGGGGAGACTTCGGGAATTAGCTTAGGTGTGTCAGCTCAGTTGGGTTAACCCCCCTCCCAAAAATCCTCGCTCAAAGTGATCCCTGTGTTGACCATTGGAGTGGCACCTGGTTTCCATTCACCTGCCCCATTCCAGGGACACCCACTGTTCAGCCATGAAGTAGAGAATAACAGAGTTGGAAGGGACCTTTGAGGTCTTCTAGTCCAACCCCACTGCTTGGGCGGGAGCGGGGCTGGCCTAAATAAAAGAGGGTCAGAAAAGGGAGAAGACCCACAAAGCGAGGAACGAGCAAAATACATTTTTTACAGAAATGCAAATATCTGGGTCTCAGTGGCCGCTGCGACCCCTACCTGGGTGCACAGAGTGGGGTCAAAGATGATGTAGACCTGTGAAAAGCCTCATGGACAACAAATCTTTGTTGTGTATGTTGCCAGAATTTAGCCTAGGTGCTCTCTCTGAGCTTGGTTGCTTTCTTGCAGACGTTTCCTTACCCAGACTAGCTAACCTGATCAGTTTGTTTGTTGAATGACCATTCAAAGTTACGACAGCACAGAAAAAAATACAACCAATTTTCACAGTTACGACCTTTGCAGCAGCCTCATAATCACGCCATAATTCAGATACATAGCAACCAGTTCATATGTAAGACCAAGGTCATGTGATCCTCTTTTGTGACCTTCTGACACAGTGAAATCAAATTCACTTCACAACTGTGTTACTGAGTTAAACCACTGCAGTAATTTCCTCGGTGGATAAAAATTGAGTACAAAAAAATTAAAAATTGAATTTTTTTTTACTTCAGATATTTTTAAAAAATTTAAATTGGTTTTTTTTTATTTTTATCAAATTTATTTTAATAAAATGGTTTTGGAATAAAAATACCAAAATATAGTTTTCTATTTGAGATACATTCATACTTTAGTTTATTCAGCATGAAATGGAGCTTAGTGATGTAGCACGAGGCTATATATATTCTGCAATATTTACATTTTTTGTAAACTTCATTCCACGAATCCAAGCTCTGCAAGCTGAGATAACATGTACCACGTTAAATCGATTAAATCGACTTGATTTAAATCAAATCTACCCTGGCTTTCCTTAACAACTGTAGCAAGAAAGGTCGTAAAACAGGGCAAAACTCACTTAACATATGTCTCAACCACAGAAATTTTGGGCTTAATTGCGGTCGTAAGTCAAGGACTGACTACTGCAAGAAATCAGCCAACCTCAAGAGAGCCACCCCCTCATTTCAACCCTGAGCTACAAATATTCTCCTTTATTAGAGTTTAGCCTGATTTGCAAAATGCTTCCTTTGATTCCCACCCAAAAAATCCACCATGCCAGAAAGCAGAGCCAGGAAGGAGTGGAAATAATTTGGCTTGAGACAGAAGGAATTTTCCAGATCACTTTCCCGCCTGGATTTGTGCAAATCCAGGCTTGGGAAAGGAACAGTTCTTTGAGGGTGGGAAAATCTGGAATTGTGCAAGCCATCAAGAATAACAGAGTTGAAAGGGACCTTGGAGGTCTTCCAGTCCAACCCCCTACTCAAGCAGGAGACCTTATACCATTCCAAACAAATGGTCATCCAATCTCTTCACTTCCAGTGATGGAGCAGCCACAACTTCTGGAGGGAAGCCATTTCACTGATTAATTGTCAGGAAGTATCTCCTTCAACTACAGGTAGTCCTCTAATTACGACCACAATGGAGCTCAAAATTTATGTCGCTTAGTGAGAAATTTATTGAGTTTTACCCCGTGTTACGACTTGCCACAGTTTTTAAGAGAATCGTTGCCGTTAAGTTAGTAACACGGTTGTTAAGTGAATCGTATTTCCCCATTGATTTTGCTCGTCAGAAGGTCACAAAAGGGGATCACATGACACACACACACACACGGGACACCGCAACCATCATAAATATGAGTCAGTGGCCAAGCATCTGAATTTGGATCAGGTGACCATAGGGAATGCTACAACGGTCATAATTGTGAAAAATGGTCCTAAGTCACTTTTCAGTGCCAAAACTTTGAACGGTCACTAGGTGAACTGTTGTACGTCAAGGACTACCTGTACTCTGGTGGGGAACTATGGCCCTTTTAGGAATGGTGGAGTTTAGCTCCCAGAATTCTTGAGTCAGCCATGCTGACTCAGGAATTCTGGGAGATGAAGTCCGCCAGTCCTAAAGGGGCCATAGTTCCCCACCTCTGAAAGACATAATTAGGGTTACTTGAAGAATCTCCTGTAGCTGAATAAATGTTGCAGCGGAGTAAAATCTCTCCAAAATACCAGAGAGATGAAAAGGCCCGATTTTTAAACATGTCTATTGTGTTGAACCTACTCCAAGGGTTAAAATGGCTAAAATTCACAACTGCTTCTCTATTCTTATTATTCCCCACCACCACCATGAGCTGATGGGCCTGTCTTAATGAACTTTTCTAGCCCATCCATCAAAGCTTGGTATTATTTGCCTGCTGGCCTGCATCGACTTAATATATCCATTGGCAGGACAAATAATCTGACGTCATTTGATTCCTTGTTTCAAAATAGATAAGCTGTATTTGAAAGGTTTTATATATACTGTATATAATATGTAAGGGAAACCCACCATTTTTATTTTTGCCCACTTTCTGGATTTTTTTATTGAGAGAGATACACAGATACAGGCAAAAATATTTCAATTTAAAAAAAGAAACAGGATATACTAAAGAATTGCTAGCAATGGGTTTCCCCTACATTTGTGTGGGCTTTTAATTCCCATCATTTCCAGTCAGTGCAGGAAAGGGTAGGCTGGCTGGGGATAATGGTATCTGTAGTCCCATGCAGCTGAGATCCAAGGGTTTGGGCCTCCACCAACTTCAGCCTTTGCTGTCACTGCGGCTTCCTTATTTTTTTCATTAAAAGCATCCAGTCTTGTTTCCATAATACAGACATAAAAACTGAGGAGAAACTTCTAAAAGCAGGAAAAATAACCATGGAATTCTTTTTTTTTTTAATTAAAACCTTTCTGGAGCAAATGTATGAAAACAATAGTTTGCCTGTTAAAAATATTGCTAAAATCATGAAAATCAACTGCCTGTTTCCAAATAAAAAGGGAATCTGAGTAGAAGTGGTAGTTGTTCCTCAATTTGGTGCCGCAACTAACAAGGCTGTGTGTGTTTTACCCACTGGTCACTAGTGGGATGTGGACTTCAGTCTTAGATGAAGGTGTGTCATTCTTTCCTATCCCTGGAGTAGTTTTAGCTCTGGAAACATTTACACCCATCAAAGAGAATATTTATAGCTCAGGGTTGAACTATTGTAAACCTCCCTCCTTTCTAACACTGATGACATTACCTAGGTTGGCAACGAAAAGTTTACAAGGAAACAACCCGACTCCACAGAACCATTTCGATTTCTCCTACCTGTGAGGACTAGAAACCCTTTTGGAACATTTTTTTTTCTGTTTGACCTCCCAAAAGGCCAGATAGAAAAAAAATGTTCTAACAGGGTTTCTAGTCCTCATGAGGGCTGCTTCTAGGGATGCCACTCCAATTGTGGACATCCCTAGATGGCAGGAACCGTGTGCAAATAAACTTGAGCAGATTTCGTGGTCTTGCAAAGTTAGGGAGGCAGGATTCTCCCCTCTTTATTTCATTGCCGAGGCAGCAGGAGATCCTAACTCTAACCCCTCCCCACTTCATCTGGGCCCCTCCATTTAGGCCTTCTCTCCCCCCACCCCTAGATGTCCCTCAGATGCGACGGCCACTTTCCAAATCCTCAATATTGACTTGACTTCCCCCGCTACATGGGGTTTTCTTTCTTCTGTCTGTCCTCCTGTTCCTCCCTCCCTCCCCCCGTCTGTCTGTCTATTGCACTTCCCTTCTTCCTTCCCTTTCTCCACAGGGTTCGGCTCAGCCCAAGGCCTTCAAGAGGAAGATCTCCGTGGCCTGTAAGTAAAAGGGTCAGGTTGTCCACCCATTGAGTTCAACCCTCCCTTGACTACCTGGTGAGACATATGAGGAAGGTTGGAGGTGCTCTGGAGTCTCACCTCCCACTCCTGAAAGCTGAGGTCTCCAACCATGACCACTTTTAAGACTTGTGGACTTCAACTCCCAGAATTCCTCACCTCAGCATTGCTGGCTGAGGAATTCTGGGAGTTGAAGACCACAAGTCTTTAGCCAGGGTTGGAGACTGAGGCATTCTGGGAGTTGAAGTCCACAAGTCTTAAAGTTGTCATGGTTGGAGACCTTTGCTTTAAGGAGTGGGAGAGCACGTCTTCTGTTTAGCTGCTGGGATGGAGGAAGGGTGGACATTCCCTTGCTTCCCCAGAAGAGACAAGGTCACTCTTTGGAGCAGAATGCAAGGGATTGTAGCCTTGAAAAAACCTCTGTTGGGTAATTTTTACTCCCACTCACTTAAAAGCTGGCTAATCCAATAGCTGCCATTGCAGGCCTGGGTGAAAGGTGAAAGAAACGTGCTAGCTTAACTCACAAGGGGTGTGTGTGTCCCATCTGTGCCTTGGCTTTGGGGAGGTAAGCTCAAGTCACATTCCCAGAGTGATGGCCAGTGTGATTAAATACACAGCATATACAGTTACATTAAATGCACTAAATTAAATACGTTAAAATACACTGGTTATAAATTAAATACACTAAATACACTGAAATACAGGTAGTCCAGACTTAATGACCAGTTCTCTAAATGACAAGCTGAAGTTACAACTGACCTTCCCAGAAGGTGTTCGCTTGTTAAAGATTTTTAGCCCACTTTTATAAGTAAAAAGTGACAAACATGCATGATACTCCTTCCTCCTCCTGTTTTCTCCATAACAACAACCCTGTGAGGTGGGTTGGGCTGGGAAAAAGGGACTTAGGCTTTTATGCCTAAAATGGGACTAAAATTCTCAGTCTCCTGGTGATTGGCCCAAAGTCATCCAGCCAGTTTTTATGCCTAAGGTGGGACTAGAACTTCCAGTCTCCTGGTTTCAGAGTCAACACCTTGACCACCACACCCAACTGGTTCTTGCGAGAACTGCAAACTGCATTTTTAGGCACTTGGCTACCGGCTCGCATTTATTCCTGTTTGCAGCATCCGGCAAACCGTTTTTGACTGGTTTCTAGTGTTTACTTCCCGATTTCTGGCTAAAAAAATTCCCTAATGGCTTTGTTTAACAACTGTTTGTCCCTGTTGTTAGGTGTTTTTTTTTTTTTGCAAACACATAGTGGCTTGCTTTTAACAGCAACTTACGAATGTAATTCTGGGCTCAGTTGTGGTTGTAATTTGACAATTCCCTGAATGCATTTGATTGGATGGGATGCATATTTCTTTATTTTTAAAAGATGTGCCTGGTAAAATATTGTTATTTTTTCAACGGTATTATCCTTGGCACCAAATGCTTCAGCCAACTTACTATACGTAGCATTGGGGTCGCAGAAACAGTTCATTTAATGCCTGTAGTAATGAAGGCAGCTGTGATTTTACTAGGAAATGGCTAGCTCAAGTGTTTCTCAACCTCCGCCCGTTTAAGATGAGTGGACTTCAACTCCCAGAATTCTATGCTATGCTAGCTGGGGAATTCTGGGAGTTGAAATCCACCCATCTTATAGGGGCAGAGGTTGAAAAAAACTGAGCTAGATTCTTTTTTATCCCAATATATAGCCCTCAGCTTACAACCTTTCATTTAGTAACAGTTTGAATTTACAGCAGCATTCAAAAAAAGTGACTTATGGCCATTTTTCACATGACAGTTGCAGCAGCCTCATGGTCACCTTGATCAACATTCGGGCACTTGGCCTCTGGTTCATATTTATGACGGTCACAACGTCCTGGGGTCATGTGATCCCTTTTGCGACCTTCTGACAAGTAAAGTCAATGGGGGAAGCCAGATTTGCTTAACAGCCGTGGCAAGAAGGATTGTAAAGTTTAGCAAAACTCAGTTGTCTCACTTAGCAACAAATTTTGGGTGCAATTGTCATAAGTTGAGGGCTATGTGTATTGGCAGATCATGCAGAAAAGGGAATGCTGCTTAGGGAAAACGGGTGGATGTGAACTGACTCACTCGAGCCACCTCACAAGCCAAGCTACCCCAATTGTGTCAAGAAAGGTCGTAAAATAAGGCAAAACTCAGTTGTCTCACTTACCCACAGAAATTTTGGGCCCAATTGTGGTTGTAAGTCGAGGACTACCTGTATTGTCAGATCATGCAGAAGACGACACGGGGGTTAGGGAAAGCAGGTGGATGTGAACTGACTCGCTCATACAAGCTACCTCAAGAGCAAAGCTGTCCCCAACCGTGTCCCGGGGAAACTGCTCTGGTTTTTAACTCCTTTCCTCCCTCCCTCACTTTTAGCCTCCTCCGTGGCCAAAGGCTCCATCGCCACGAACAGTGATACCGAAGGAAGCCAGTTGGCGGGCCGCAAACGGCGCTGGGGCTCCAGCACCGCCACAACCCAGAAGAAACCTTCAATCAGCATCACCACCGAGTCCCTCAAGGTAGCCAGCTAGCCGCGACAAAAGTCGACTCAGGGACAGCCAAGATCAGACCTTGATTTGCTTTTCTCCTTCCTCCTCTTTCTCCTCCAGAGCCTGATCCCGGAGTTTAAGCCACCTCCAGGAGGCCAGGAAGCCGTGATGGACCTTCATGCCGACAACTCCCGCATCTCCGAAGACGAAGACGAGCACCACTTGGAAGAGCCAGCTCATGAGAAGGCACTCAAGATCTGCCGTACCGTCATGCAGGTTGGTGCTTGAGGGGTGGGAGAATGATGGCTCCCAATTGGTCCCCAGGGCAGAAGTGGCACACAGACGCAAAACTGCGAGCCACAAAGCTGTGTGCATGCCAGACAGCCAATTTGTTAAAGTCCATTGTTTTTACTGTTCTCTCGTCTCCCATCAGTTTGGGAGTGGTGGACAGCCAATCTCCCATAAATGAAATCATTAATCGCAATGCTATTTATTTATTTTTTTAAAGGCAGATGCTGATTCCAGTTCTCAGATTTAGACGCCGGTAAAAACTAAAAAATATCCTAAAACCTGAGCCAAGGACCTCGTATAGCTGTCAGGTTCTTTATCTGCAGGGTGATCCTCCTTTATTTAACACAACCATCCCACTGCCTAAAATTATTCTTGCAAAATGTGTTTGGCTACCGAAGATCTCTGGCCTTTGCCCACCAAGACAGGAGGGAGAGAGGAGCCACTGTTGCTTCTCTCTCTGTGTGTAGACCGAATACAGCTTGCCAGGAACACTGATGATGGTTACCTAAGTTGGTGATGAAACATCTGTAACCAAGCTTAGTAACTCCACAGAATATAGGATTACCTTATGGATTTGCCATTGAATCAATTGATAATCTACTGTACATAAAAAGAGGGTGTCCACTTATTCTCCAAAGCACCCCAAAACAAGACAAGAAACAACGGATGGAAACCAATCAAGGAAAGAAGCAACCTAGAACTAAGAAATTTCCTAACGGTGAGAAAAATTGATCAGTGGAATGGCTTGCCACCAGAAGTTGTAGGTGCTCCAACACTGGAGGCTGTAGGATAGGGTAGGGTAGAATAGAAATAGAATGAAATTGAATAGAAATAGGATATAGAATATAGAGTAGAATTAGAAATAATAAAAATAGAAATATAAACAATAGAAATAGAGTTGGAAGGGACCTTGGAGGTCTTCTAGTCCAACCCCCTGCTCATGCAGGAAACCCTATACCAGGGGTGGGCAATTAATTTCTGTCGGGGGCCACATGGAAAATCAGATCTGCGTTCGAGGGCCGAATCAATTTTATAAAAGGCCATTATAAAGGGCCCATTATAAAATGCAGCAAAT